AAAAAAAAGAACTGATCTTTAAAAATATCCCAAAAAACACAATTTGACCTGATAAAAAAAATCTAAAATAAATTTTGAAGCACGACCCCTTCACAAAAAAGAACTAATCTTTAAGTAAAGAATAAGTTTCATTTCCAACTTAACCAACTTAAACAAGATTTGACCTGACAAAAAGAATCACAAAATTTTGACCTACGATCCCTAACAAAAACGAACTAAAAGAACTGATCTCTAAATAAAGAATTAGTTCTATCTCCAACTTAAACAATATTTGACCCGACGAAAAGATATTTAAAGAAATTTCGATAATAAAAACTTTTAGTCAAAAAAAATAAAAATAATTAATTGGTAGGTACTTGCCAAATTCCTTGATGAGTTCTGGTTAAATCGTATTATCCTTATATGGTTGTCTTATTTCTTTATTATTATCCATGGGTTAATGCTATAACCTGTTGAACCTACAAAAAAATACAATTAGACGATTTAAGGGCTGCAACTTTTATGTTTTTATTTTTTTAAATATCAAAAGTAAGTAGTAATATTTGAGATAATAGATGCGTTAGAATTTTTAATAATACGTATATAGGTTGGTACCTAGCAATTTGTATACAAATACATCTATATATGTAGATCAAAGTAATAAATGAGCATGTTTATCGTATCAAAGCCAAATTACAACTAAATGGTTGATTACGTTGTAGGGATTATAATTATTTTTATCAGCAAAAACAAAAAAAGGGTGAGTCAGACTTGCGCGATAAACATATTACGTTAATGGTGACAAATTTTAATTATAAATATATTTGTTATTTATTATTTTATTAATACTCAAATAATCTAATTTCGATTATACAGTTTCCCAAAAATTACGCACCATTTTGAGTTATTAGGGTTTAAAAATTTAATTTAATTTGTGTTATTTTCTAAAGACGTTTTGAAAATAAAAACTTAAATTAGAATCATTTTTATACGTATACTTTTTATACTTTTTGCAACAATGGTTGATATTGATTGATATAACACAAAAATTATAGATACAGTGTGACCCATTTGTTTGCGACCCCTATAAAATCTTTATTTATTGTGCGACTTTAACCGGATTTGTTTTAAAGTGTAGATCTTGATAAACTGTATTTTTGGAGCAAAAAACGACATATTTGTACAACAAATAAGGCCTACTATGTCAGTTTTTGAGAGTAAATTTTTAAGAATTCATATTAGCGATTTTTTTAAACAAAATCTAAACACGGCACTGGATTCGCCACCCCTCAAATCGACCCTATATTAAATTTTATTGAAAAATTTTAAGTAGAAAAATGCACAATAATAACCACAAAATTTTATTCTGTCAAGTTATCCATGAAAAAACATTGAAGGGTCGTTTTGAGGGGTGGTGAATCCAGTGCCGTGCTTGGATTTTGTTTAAAAAATCGCTAATATGAATTCTTAAAAATTTACTCTAAAAAGTGACATAGTAGGCCTTGTATTTTGTACTAATATGGCGTCTTTTGCTCCAAAAATACAGTTTATCAACATCTACACAAATCAGGTTAAAATCGCACAATAAATAAAGATTTTACAGGGGTGAGTCGCAAACAAATGGGTCACACTGTATATATATATATATATATATATATATATATATATATTGATTTTAAACTTAAAAAACTATTTAAATTTTCTAAAGGTTAAAATCAAAGGCGATCTTATAAATAAAAGTAGACTAAACAAGTTTGAAGAAATTTAGTTAAAAAAACTTAAAAATTAGCGAATAAATAGGTACCTACTTTTATTTTAGTCAAAAAATTTAAAAATAATAAATTGGTACTTGCCAAATTTATTGATGAGTTCTGGTTAAATCCCATTATCCTTCAATATATGGTTGTCTTATTTCTTAATTTCCATTAGCTTAATAGCTATGGCTTTTACATGTTGGTCCTAGAAAAAAAATACAATTAGACCATTTAAGGACTGTAAATTTTATGTTTTTTATTTTTTTAAATATCAAAAATATTCGTAGTATTATTTGACCTAATAGATGCGTTAGAATTCTAATAATACCTAGCAATTTGTTGATGTAGATAAAAGTAATAAATGAGCATGTTCGTCCCATAAAAGCCAAATTACAACTGAACGCTTGATTACGTTGAAGGGATTATAAATATTTCTTATTAACAAAAACAACCAAAAAAATGGGTGTCAGACCTGCGCGATTAACATATTACGTTAAGGGTGACGAATTTCTTAAATAGGTATATATTTGTTATTTATTATTTTATTAATAATCAAATAATGTAATTTCGATTATAGTTTCCAAAAATTACGCACCATTTTGAGTAATTAGGGTTTAAAAATTGTGTTATTTTCTAAAGACGTTTTGAAAATAAAATCTTAAATAAGAATCTGTTTAAATATTTAAGGTAGTTGTCGTGGTACAATATGGTCAAACATTTTTAGATTATACGCACCGTAAAAGTATACGAGCTTGTAGCTAAGTGATTCATAATTTATTCGCAAGACTGTACCCTGGAGACTTTACCTTTACGTAATACTTTCAAATATTTTCATAAGTTTTAATCCGGCAACGTCGCTTATGCTCAACCAATAGATATATTGGAGACTGAATCAGTGTTTGAATTTACTGCGGAAATAATATCTATACTCGCGTACAGCGTTGCCAAGTTTTTATCTGACACTAGTGATGTATACTTTTTACAAATTGTTGAACTTTAAACGGTTATTTATAAACAATTGGACGGTCAAAAATTTTTAATTTTTTTTTTGAACTCAAGCAAAAATACATTAAAAGACTGTTAGTTTTTTTTTATAACTAAGAAACTGGTACAGAACTACATAAAGCGTATACAATCCATGTAAATTATCCAATTTTTAATTGAATTTATCTCGGGTTATAGACGGTCAATCGATTTCAAATTTTAAGGATAATTGTATTGTCATGTCCTTAATATGTATACAAAAATTTAATTTTGTAGAACGTTCAATTTTCTTCAAAAATATATAGAGTTCATTCCAATATGTTCACTCAAAAACGAGTTATAAAATTTCAAAGTTAAGAAAAATGAATTCCTGTGTTATTTAAACGTAAAATAGAAATTCACGATGAGCGACCTCTAAATATTAATATTAAGAGCTACAATTTTCACAGGCTTCTTTTTTCACTACTAGAAAGATATTTTAATGCGGGCTTTAACAGGGTTCCCTCTCACCTTGAAATCCTTGAAAACCTGGAATAGTCAGGGAATCCGTTTAAGTCCAATAAAATCAGGGAAAAGTCAGGGAATTTTGAAAGTCAGCGCAAAAGTCAGGGAATTTGTTAATATTATGGTAAAAGTCAGGGAAATTTATAAAACGGCTTGTTTTCTGACCCTTTTTCGTTGAAAGTCGCCGTATTGGCAACACTGGTATCGTAAACAATTGTTTTCGTACGGCGCCGCCGTAACGGCGGTAATTATCAAGGATTTTACACAAAAAAATTTTACACACTAAAAAATCGCAAAGCAATGCACCTGATAAACAAACTAACAATTAACAATAATTAAAACAATTGTCATAATTTATTTTAAATTGTTAAAGTTTGTTGTGCATTGCTTTGATGAATATGGTATATTTGTATAAATGTATCTGTGATGTATACCAAAGAATGTTTTTTATGTTTGTACCAAAGAATCTATTTTATGTTAAACTGTTTTTATTAACATTTTATTTTAATTTTTATTATAATATTTAATTTTTAAATAAATATTAACAAAAATAAACGCTATTTTTGACTTAATTCTGATGGCACTATTTTGGGAGATAATTGTCTTTATGTCTTTCTTTTATTTATCTGGAATTATAGGGACTTTGGTCAGGGAAAACCTGGAAAAGTCAGGGAATTTTAAATGGTTTTAAAAGAGGGAACCCTGTTTAAAGAAAAAAAAATATTCGATTTTTTTGAACCAGTCTAATATATATATATAGTTATAGGTATATGGAAAATACTAAAATGTGCATCTCAAGAGTTGGCAACCCTGGAGGCACGTCAGTGTATGACGAATTTCATCCATTACGTCACTAGCCTGCCCTTAAAAACTAAATTGCAGGCACTCTAACGTGCACGTAGTCACTGCGTTTAATCAATGCAACCACTTTTGGTTCCGGATTTATCAACCAAACCCCTAAATTTGCAACGTTGCCGCAGTCCAGATAAAAAAAATAAACTTTAGACCTAATGTTTTCATAAAATTTGAATTAAATTTATGCTTGAGATAATTTTATTTAATTATTATTATGTCAGACATAATTAAAATTATAAAAAATTAATTAATTTAAAAAAAACCTACTTCAATTTTCTTTTGGGCGGGGGGGGGGCAATGGGGCGGGGTCGGTTGGGTTGTGTTGTTGAGTTTGGGTTGGTTTGGTTTTATGACGTAACTAACTTGCCCTTAACATGTATACAGGTACAATTTATTATTATTATTATTTTATTATAACATAAAATTATGACGTCAATCGGGACTGAACTTAAGTCCCGCCTCGGGACGGGAGCCACAGCGTTAAAACATACGATTAAAAAGTCAAATGCCATATTTATTGGTATTTTAGAGGTTAGGGGACATCAATTAATTACGTGAGGCATTTTTCTGATAATTTGGACCCCTTCCTCCCCCTTAGTGAGATTTGGTGATATGTGGTAGATCCTCCTATCCCTTACGTGAGATTCTAGCCATTAAACTTTCTTTGCGCACAACATGATAAAAATTGTTTACTTTTTTTTGACAAATTTGAATTATAATACATATTCTTTAAACCCAAAGGTTGACGTGAGATTTTTAATGACCCCCCCTCCACTAACATGAGATTTGGTAAGATTTTGCTAGACCCCTCCCCTCCTATTTTTATTTCACGTAATTAATGGATGTCCCCTTATTTAATTTAAAAAATATTAACTTTTGTTTAAAGTTTGCATTGTGCAGTGTATTTTTTTAAAAACTTTTTAGGCATACCAAGCAGGATTTTTGGGCAAAAACGCTTGCGGTTCGGGCTATGATTTCGACGTTTACATGCACAGAGGCGCCGGGGCGTACATTTGCGGTGAAGAAACTGCCTTAATCGAATCTATTGAAGGTAAACAGGGTAAACCAAGGCTTAAGCCTCCGTTTCCAGCTGATGTCGGTGTTTTCGGATGCCCTACCACTGTTACCAACGTAGAAACAGTTGCTGTGGCACCGGTAAGTAAAAAATAATATTAGTTCTGAACTTTTTTAATGTTTTACACATTTTTAGGCGATTTGTCGCAGGGGCGGTAACTGGTTTGCCTCGTTTGGAAGGACGCGTAACTCTGGCACCAAACTGTTTAACATCTCAGGTCACGTAAACAGGCCTTGTACTGTGGAAGAAGAGATGAGTATTCCGCTTAAAGAACTGATCCAGCTTCATGCTGGTGATGTTATTGGCGGATGGGACAATCTTTTGGCCATTATTCCTGGCGGATCCTCGACTCCATTGATTCCAAAAAGGTACATAATTACTAAATTATTCCTAGGAATAAATTTGTTTGTTTTTTAATCAAGTTTTCAAAGCTACTACAAAATTAAAAGCTAAATACTGTTCTGTTTAATATTAATAATAATTTTATAAAAGTAAAATGTTCAGGGGACATAACCTAGGGATTTAAGATACTCTAAAGATGCGTATAAGTATATATTTATACGGGGTTTTTCCATTGAAAAAAGCTTGTAAGTAGATAAATCTTGTTTTTTTAGTTTGCTTGCATAAAACTTAGCCCCGCACTAAAGTGTCTTGGTTCAAAGTTTGATTTCCTATCAAAGGAGGTGTTTTTTTTAGATTTTATTTTATTAAAATTAATAGTATTTTTTATCTTTACGCGGTATATAATTTAAACTTTATTGTTATCAACATTCGATAAAGAAATACCTTGTTTATGGCCTAGGCCGATAAAAATTTTTATGAGGCAAGTATTTTTTCTCGTTAGGGGTATTGTTTTGACAAATTAATCCTTTTCTAAGAAATTAACGTACTTAACTTAATTTATTTATAATAAGCACTAATTTGTTTCTTTTACTGTTAATGTTTAATATTTTTCATTAAATTATTGTAAAATTAAATATGAATAATAAAACAAAAAGTGAGGTTAGGCAACCAAGAAAACGCACGATTCTTTTTCTACGATTTAAATTACCTATGTTTAAGTTTTAATTTGCTTTAAGTTTTCAGTGAAATTAAATGTTAAACACAGCTTAAACATTCTAAACTATCTATTTTTTAAATAAAAATTCAAACAAATTGAAATTAGATACCTACCTACCTATTTATTAAACAATTAATTGAATTCAATGTAATAGCAAAAATCCATTTCTACTTAAATCATGTTGCTAGGTATTGTCAAACTATTACTGCTTCTAAAAGCAATACTAATTTTTGTACATTTAATGTAATCTTTAGCTAATAAATAAATGAGATTCTAAAAAAGTGAGGTTAGGCCGCTTTGATGTTGAATTAAATTGACCTATATAAAGTGCTTTGAAGATAAAATGTTGTATGCCATTCGGCCAAGAAGGGCCTTTTTGTGCTTCGCTCAATTGTATGCCTCCGCTACGCGTCGGCCTTCAAACCTTGAGCTTAGCACAAAAAGCCTTACTTCTTAACATAAATAACTATTTAAGTCAATTATTAATATTATTATAAATATATATTTGTATTTCTGTAGCGTCTGCGAAGACGTCCTAATGGACTTCGATGGGTTAGTTCAAGCCCAAACAAGTTTGGGAACAGCCGCCATTATCGTAATGAATAAACAAACCGACATCGTTAAGGCTATTGCGCGTTTAATCATGTTCTACAAACACGAATCGTGCGGACAATGCACGCCTTGCAGAGAAGGTAGGGCAAAAATTAATGCACTTGGGCCAAGAGTGCGGAGATTAAGTTATTTTTTTTAAGGTATCAACTGGATGAACAAAATAATGTACAGATTCGTTGATGGTAACGCAAAGCCCGACGAGATAGATATGTTGTGGGAAATTAGCAAGCAAATTGAAGGTCATACAATTTGTGCCCTTGGTGATGGGGCTGCTTGGCCTGTACAGGGACTCATCAGACATTTTAGACCAGAATTAGAGGAAAGGATGAGAAAGTTCCATGAGTGTGAGCAAAAGAAAATAGCAAATAATTAGAATGTAAATATGATTTTTTTTTCTTACTCACACGCTCTCAGTATTTTGCCCCTTATGCTGATTTTTTTAATATCATGGTTTGTGTAATTATTTATCAATTTAAACTGTGCACTGTATATTAATAAAGTTTCAATGTTTTGGTGTTATTTTATTTTAAAGATTCTATAGTGGATATTTAAATAATTTTTAATGGATAAGTGAAGTATTTATAATAATATATTATGGTGGATTAAATGTGGTAGGTATAAATTTATTAGATAAGGATATTCCACGATAATCAGAAATTGTTATCCCTAACGTCACAAAACAATTTCTGACGGTTGGAATAAAAATGTCCGATTATCGTGGAATATCCGACCCAATAAATATAAACAAACCACATTTAATCCACCATAATAAATACTTTACTCATCCATTACATTGATTAATATATTATCGTGAAATGTAATACTAAAACATTCATAAATTTACAAGAAAAAATACAAAGCAATGTGTCATAATAAAGACATGTATAAGTAAAACAAAAATTTTTATTTTAAAAACTGTTAATGGAATCCATAATATTTAAATAAATAAAAAAATCCTTAAACTTAATGGAAAATATTTAAAATTAAAATATATATTCACAAAAAAGTTCACTTGACTTTTTTGGTAGATTGTCCCATATAACAAAGAAAACCAGGTTTTCTTTGCCATTCATTGTTAATATCTTTTATTCGCAATTGCCCCAATTTTGACCTTATCAATTAAACCTTTCCACTAAATTCTTTGGCGGTATTTTGTCCGTAATAAGAGTTCTAAAATTTGTAAAATTACTCATTTAAATTTAACAACCATTATTATTAGGTATTATTATTTTTATTTGGCATAATACACTATTAAAACTAAGAATTACACTGGGCGTCATTTTTAAAATATGGCGTTAACCAAAGGATAATTAAAGGTTCATGTAAGTTTTATATACAGAAAACATTTGCCACTTCAATGGTTTTTTAGTCCCATTAACTTGATACTAAAAATTACCATATCGCGAGGCGAAAATTAAAATATTCTATCTACATAAACAATAAATTGTCAGGAAGAGCGTTTAAAAAATTGACCATATAAAAATCAATTTTAGTTGGCTTTATTTGGTCAAAATATAATTTATTGACTTTTCTAGGTTGTTTTATATTATTATGTGAAGATTTTTCTCGTTTTTTCTCATTTTTATAAATTTATACTTTTTATAAAAGAATAATAAATAAAATATAAAATATAGAGATAGAACAAAAACACAAAATAAAAATGAATTTGATTTTAAATTTTGTTTTATCTAAACAAATTTTAAATAAAAAAGCATGTCTCTCACAACTATTCTTACACAATATATTTAGTAAACAATATAAAACGAAAAACCAAATGAAGAACGTTATTTTTTCTTTACTCCAGCTTTAATTTTTTTTCTCATGCATCTTATCTTTAAATTCATAAAACATGCTTTTGATAAACTGCATATCAGCTTTTGGAATTAATTTAAATAATTGGTATAAATACACCTTGTCTTCGGCGAGTACCTAAACATTTTTTTACCACCAGACACGGTCTCACATCGGACAACTTAAAAAATCATTTGTGGCTTTTTACTAATTCAGAACATTTTTCACCATAATATATTATATTCTTGCTTTTTTTGCTATTGTCATGAAATTAGGACACAAAAGAGCTCTCATGTATCGCAGAAATCAGTCAGACTGTGACAGTCTTAAACTGAAATTTATAGAATTATAATTTTATCTGCAAAATTCCGACAATTTCATTGGCGGAGCAGATAGAACATTATAATGATTCAGAGTTCCTGAAAATAAAATATAGAACAATTTTCAAATGCATTTTGTAGCCTAAAGAGTCATAAAAATTGTTTTAAGTCAGTGTAGATCTAATCATATTCATTAAAATATTTTAACCAAGCTAAAATCCCAGATTTGGAAAAAAGTGCAGATAGAACAATATAATTCTCGCCTCGCGATATGGTAAAATATACAAATATTAGCCTGAAAAGGGCCATTATAATGTATGTACCGGGCCTTTACAGGAATGTTTTAATAAAAATATTAATTTTGATTAAAGGCCATCGTGTATACACGATGGCCTTTAATCAAAATTAATATTTTTATTAAAACATTCCTGTAAAGGCCCGGTACAAGAAAAGAATTGGCTAAAAATACCATTATTAATCCATGAAACTATGTAATGGGTCATTACCTAATCAGACTTATGGGTTTGCTGGGAAATTATGAAAAAAAAATCATGGAATATTTTTCTTTCTTAAATTTAAAACCGGTGGAGGCTTAACATCATCACATTCTGTCACGATGGAGGGGAGGGGGTCAATTTCGACTATTTTTAGCGTCAAGAGGTTTATGGACGCCCCCTAAAAAGAGGTTTTTTTGTGGGGATTTAGCCTTCTGCAAAAAAGTCTTAAATTAATATTTTAAGAGATGGGTGGGAATTTTGAAGATTTACAAAAAAATTTGAAATTTATTTTTGCAAAATTTGTAAATTCAAAAATCTTCAAAATAACTTATTAAGGACGATCCTTAATCAAACCTTATTAATTGTATTTATTCTTTCTTATGATTATTTTTTGATGTTTCTAAAAACCAATAGAAACAATTTCACGATGCTATAATATAAATGGTATATTGGTAGGTATCATAGGCGTGTCAAGTTTTACGAACGAAGTATATGCAAAAATAAAAATTCATAACATAACCCAATTCTTTGACAGTTTTAATATTTTTGCTCGTTATAAAACCATTAACAGCCTATTTTAGTTTACATTTTGTAAAATAATCTTTAAAATTTTAAATTTGCAATTTAGTATGTACTTATCCTGTATTTACAAACGATTTATCTACTAATAATGAACATTACCTAAAAACCAAGCTACAAATAGATTTATTCGTAATTCCTGACACTTGATCACATTGATCCTTTATTTTCAATTATTTTTAATTTATTCTCTTGTAATCTTATTACTGAATTACTTACACACTACTACACCGGTTTTTTTATTAATATTTTGTTTAAATCTATAGCAATATCTTTGAATTATTATAATTTATTTTCTTGATTATATTTTATGCAATATTTACCTGCCATACTTTTATTTTAAACGCCATTTTAATTGAATTAGTGTCTAAAAAGGTTTATAAACGGGTTGCGTACTATACTTTTTTTACGACAATTCTTATTATTACCTATATAAAAATGATTTAAATTAAATATTATTTTTAATTTATTCTCTTGTAATCTTATTACTGAATTACTTACACACTACTACACCGGTTTTTTTATTAATATTTTGTTTAAATCTATAGCAATATCTTTGAATTATTATAATCGCTGTGGCTCCCGTCCCGAGGCGGGACTTAAGTTCAGTCCCGATTGACGTCATAATTTTAAGATTTGTTATGTTATAATAAAATAATAATAATAAATTGTACCTGTATACATGTTAAGGGCACTTTAGTTACGTCATAAAACCAAACCAACCCAAACTCAACAACACAACCCAACCGACCCCGCCCCATTGGGCCCCCCCCCGCCCCATTGAGCAAAAAACCCAACTAAAATGGGCAAATTTATGTTACGATAAAAATAAAACACTTTTTAACAAAGAAACAACAAATTTATAAAATAAAAAAAGTTTGACAACTTCTAGTGGGATCGAACCCGGTACCTCTCGCATGCCAAGCGACCGCCCTACCATCTAAGCCATCGAGCTTGACACAAATTATAAAATCTCGGGGAATAAAAACCGATTTACAGTGTGTGACGTCAATCGGGACTGAACTTAAGTCCCGCCTCGGGACGGGAGCCACATCGTATTATAATTTATTTTCTTGATTATATTTTATGCAATATTTATAAATAAAAAGGTATACCTGCCATACTTTTATTTTAAACGCCATTTTAATTGAATTAGTGTCTAAAAAGGTTTATAAACGGGTTGCGTACTATACTTTTTTTACGACAATTCTTATTATTATATAAAAATGATTTAAATTAAATATTAGTACACAGCGACATCTATAAAACAATAGAGCAACCATTCTAACTTCAAGTTGGTAACTTGGGAATCTGTATTACCGGTCAAAATGTCAAATTTGTATGTGTAAATCGAAATGTATTGCTTAAAAATGGACTAACCACCGGTAAAATTTGATATGGAATCAGTTTTTTACAGTTGAAGTGAAGAGAATGTTATCACGGTGGAATTCACCCAAAATTTTATTTGTTAAATTAGTTTACTAAAATCAAAAGGTTAGTCCCTACCTACAACCTGCATTTAAACTTTTCAAATATTGAGATTGAGAAACTATTTACCTAATAGCATTTTTGTATTGAGATACTAAAATAATTTTCACATTTAGTATTATTTTACAAAAGGGCACTTTATTTTAACGATTGTATGACATTTTACAACTGTTAACTAACTTCAGCCCGTGACTAAAAACCTGTTGCTAAAAGGCAATAAGCCACAACTTGTCAATGGATATTTAAGAGGTCACTTAATGTCAAGGAAAAATGTACGATAATGAGCGTTTTAAAGTGGGGGTAGAAAAAATACTTAATGATACCCTATCTTTAAAATGTTTTTCTTATCAATAAAATTTCCAACGTTTTTGCATAATCCCTACATTACCGAATAACATATTTTTAGCTAATGATAATGGCATGTTTACATGCGCGTTACACATAATTAATTTTGATAAAAATAGTTGTTTATACATATATGTAACGCTGTTTGGCAATAATTTTTCAAAAGGATTTAAAACAATATCTGGATTTATTCGGTTTATTTTCCATAAAGTTTATTTATCTTATCTATCTTAATTGTTAGTGTCTATTTAAAATTTGTGTTTGGAGTCATATCAACACGCCAAAATGTATTTTTAATATCTAATCATCGTCCTCGTCATCTACAGCATCGTGTACAATCATTCGTGTGGGTTTTTTGGAACATTTTCGCGAATATTTGTCAGAAACAACGACTTTACAATTTTTGGCTTTTAAAGCTTCAAATTCATCGTCCGATATTTCAGTAATATTCATTCTAGTTGGCTTGGAAGTAGGTACAACACATAGCCCTCTTAGTTTATTTGCCATGTCTTGGGCATCCTGATTATTCGGGTTAATTTCAATACAATTATTCACCGATTCGTAAGCTTCCTCGTATTTTTTTAGAGCTCTTAAAGCTTCAGTTTTTCTGAGCAAGGCTTTTTCGTTTTTGGGATCCAAAATGAGAACTTCATCACAATCATCGACGGCTTTCTCAAATTTTTCTAGTTTTATGTGTGTTATTGCGCGATTATTTAGGTTAATAGCGGTTTTCCTGCATTGTATGCTGTTATTGTAACACATTAGAGCTTCTTCGTAATCTTTGGCTTTGAAAAATTCGTTGCCCTTCTCTTTTTCTCTCTCCGATATAAATTGAGCCTCTGCTTCAGTGGTGTATTCGTTAAATTTCACAGTTTTCTTCTTCTTGACTTTTTCTTTCTCCTTCTTCTCCCTTTCTTGTGCTTCCTTCTTCAACTTTTCCTCCTCCAAATCAATTTTTAGGATTTCCGTGTCCGGGTCGAACTTGTCCCATGTTTGGTAATCAGTCGACGATATTCTTTTGGGGTTTTCTTGCTTATTATCTTGAGGTTCTGCATCTTTAGTTTTGCGTATTTCAGTTGTGGCTTCTATACGGCTTGATTTCCTGTTTTCCAATTCTTTATTGTTTTTCGTTATACTATCTAACCAGACTGTTAAATCCGTAGTTATTGATAACTTCTCGTTATCGTCGAGGTCAACCTGGTTTTGTACTTGCACTTTCTGAAAATAATAAAATAATCAAAACTTTAAAAAATATATATATATACTAGGGTGTTTCATTTCAAACAAAAAAAATTTTTTTCTTGCTAACACATGAAAATTTTGTTCTTTAGGTTGAAAAAAAAATTCCCTGAAAATTTTAGCCCTTAAATTTGATTTTAAGTACTTCCTTTTTAATTTTGTAGTTTTTCCATATAAAAAGCATGTATTTTTAATCATTTTTACTTTAAATTTCTATATTTTGGCCGGGTTTTGAATTATAATTTTTATCACCATAATTTCCTGCATAGTATTCACGGTTTTTGAAAGGCCCTGCATCAATTTTGTTTTTGATTTATTTACGTTGATTGTAGTAGCTCCAAAAGTCGTTTTTTCACTTTTTCTCACATATTTTTGAGAAAATCGAGCGAATGACTGGTTTTACCGAAAAAGTTCAAATGAAAAAGTTGTAGGAAATTTAATTTTTGACAAAAAAAGTTCTTACGTTCATATCACTAAAGTGCTTTGTTTAAGAGGTATAAGGTATAAATGTATGTATATTATATTATACATAAATTTCAATAAAACCTATTTTTCTTTGTTTTTGGTTATTGAATTGCTTATATCTCTTAAACAAAGCACTTTAGTGATATGAACGTAGAAACCTTTTTTGTCAAATTTCCTACAACTTTTTCATTTGAACTTTTTCGGTAAAACCAGTCATTCGCTCGATTTTCTCAAAAATATGTGATTAAAAGTGAAAAAACGACTTTTTGAGCTACTACAATCAACGTAAATAAATCAAAAACAAAATTGATGCAGGGCCTTCCAAAAACCGTGAATACTATGCAGAAAATTATGATTATAAAAATTATAATTCAAAACCCGGCAAAAATATAGAAATTTAAAGTAAAAATGATTAAAAATACATGCTTTTTATATGGAAAAACTTCAAAATTAAAAAGGAAGTACTTAGAATCAAAATTAAGGGAATTTTTTTTTCAACCTAATTATTGGGAGAATGTCATGGAACAGGATTCATTTTAAAAAAAGTAATATTTAACTAAAGAAAATTTACCGGTATTTTGAAAACCTAAACAATTGAAATTGTTGCTTAATTAAAATTGCTAATTCTATCTGTGTAGCGCGTATGTACCACAATAATAAAATACTAAATTTTACTAATCGAGACAAAAACTATAAAAGATCATACAACATTTTTAAATAATCTGAATCAAAACAAAAACACCCGCTCTATAGAGCGTGTGTATACAGTGTATACTATACACACAATGCAACACTAACTGCCATCCACCACATCTTCAATCATGTGATATAAAACCACCAATTAGAGCAAGCCCAAGCAGTGACAAATAGAAGCAAACTCGCCTAATATATAAGTAGGTAAATAGTTGTGTGGAAGAGATTTCAAGGGTTGCTTTAAGGAAGACATAACCACAAAAAATAATAAATACCTTTCTTAATAGCTTGGATTTGGGGTACACTTCAGCCAATCTATCCTCCGCTGTATTGGTGAGATCTGGATAGTAACCCTCCTCTCCCGATTTTAATATTTTGTAAATCTTCTCTAGCTCCTTACCATCAGTGCATTTCTTTATGTAGTCGAAATCCAGATGATTCAGCGGTATGTCATATTTGCTTAGTAAAGTATCGTATGACTTTAGAGGTTCTAATTCTTTGGTGAGTTTTTCTAAATCGCCTGCGAACTGCGTCATCTTATTTTTTTATAAATGACATCGTCTAAAAAGAGTGACATTAAACTTGTGTAACCAGGGATAGTTTTTAAGTAAGCTGTGTGATGTATGCAGTAGTTATGGATTAAACAATGCTTGGATACGTCCAACCACAATCCACACAACAAGATCTGTTCGATCTCGTAGTAAAAATACTAAAAATCAATGCAACACTGCACATCATTCAATGGCGGCTATTTTTGTTGTTTGCAATTCTTGTGCTTTGGGTTTGTACAGATTAATAATCGTTTTAAACGTTGTGTTTCTTACAGAGAGACCTCAAAGTGGTAAGAACAATACTCCTCTTTTGTAATAAATAAACCTTATTCTATCAGGCTGTCAAATGTCAATTTGAAGGTTAATTTAAGGTTATTTTATAACCCACAAATTAACCTTCAAATTGACATTTGACAGCCCTGATAGAATAAGGTTTAATTTTTACAAAAGAGAAGTCAAATGATTGTTCTTACCACTTTGAGGTATCTTTTAAGGCTTGCAAGTCTCTCTGTAAGAAACACAACGTTTAAAACGATTATTAATCTGTACAAACCCAAAGCACAAGAATTGTAAACAACAAAAATGGCCGCCATTGAATGATGTGCAGTGATTTTTAGTACCAGATCGAACAGACCTTGTTGTGTGGATTGTGCGTCCAACCACATAACAAAGAACTATTTTTGAAGATTCGAATAGATTACTCTCTTAAAATGAATTAGTCAAAAATAACTAATTATAAGTCATATTTGACTAATTGTCATAGCGAAAAAGCAGTCACTAATAATTAGTCAAATTCCACTAAATGAAATAGTCAAATTAGTAAATTTAAATTTAAAAAAAGTTTTGACCCAGCCTGGAATTGAACTTGACAAGTTTGTCAAGCTAACCTCATACGCATTCGGCTGTCAGCCGCTCTTATAAAAATCAATTTTATTTGTCAATAAATATTGTTCATAATATTTTAAAGTTTAATATATTATTTGTGTTGCTGTTTTGAACTTTTTGCATCTTTATTTGTTTTATGGGTCATTTAACAATGGAGAGGTATATGCATTTAATTCAAATAATACTTTGTTGTTGGCCGTAAACGATTAAAGAAATTACCTAGTTACTTTTAACTGTCAGAAATAGTCAAATATTTGGTGACTAATCTTAAATTAGTCAAACTTTAACTATTTACATAGTAAAAAATAACAATTTAAAATTGAAAACGACTATTTTATTAGTAAAAAATGCTGGTACTAATTCAAATAGTAGAATTTTGACTATTTCACTTTTAGAGGGTATGAAATTGTGATTTCAGCAATATTTATAGTTTTTTAATAATCTTTTGATTTTTTATGGTTTTTATTAAAAGATTTTTTAATGGAATTTTAATAAAATTAAAAAGTGTGTATACCTAGAAACACCATACATTCAAAATTAGACTAGTGCAGGAACTCAACGAAGATGATCCGGACCGTAGGCTACAATTTTGTGAAACTATGATGATTTTATGTAACAATAATCCGAAAAGACCTTCAAGAATTATGAAAATAGAGCAGTTTTTGAAATATATTTAATTCCATATTATATGAAAAATTGAAGTTTTGACGATTTCGGATTTAGCGGACAATCTTTCATAGGAGTTGACTGCTAAATGTCCGGGATACAAATTGCTGTTGACGATAATTATTATTCATTTTTAGAGAGTAAGATCGTTACCAAATCATGCACTGTGTAGACAAGTGTTAAACTTTGCTACCGTCAGCTGCAAGTATCAAACAAATACTAAAAAATAATTTGACAATTTCTCTCCTTTTATTTTGATACTGGAATAAAAAATTAAGCCGCCAATATCATAGCGGCAAAAGGCGCCTTATAGCGGCCGAAAAAAAGAGCGGCATATATGCCTATAGGGCCTTAATGCGGCCGACGCAAATAAAGGCCGTAACCTTTATCCTATGTATGTTTAATTATTTGTTTCTTTGCAAGAAAGTTTATCGTTACAAATTACCGATTGACTCTTTGATTTTGCGCCCCCAAAATGTTACGCCTGCGTGCGTGCACGCTCGCCAGGAACGGCCCTGGGTACTGAGCAGAGAAAATCCTCATTGGGTATACCCAATGAAGAAAAAAAGACCTATAGTAGAGGAAAATTCCCAATACCGGCAAAAAGTGAATGTCTGGGCAGGAATGGTGGAAAATCGGATCATAGGTTTTTTTTGACGAGAATATAACAGGACAAACGTATTAGAATTTTTGCAAAACTCTTTTTTTTCACATTAACAATATGTTGTGTGAATTATGATAAAATATATCTATGTAGAGAATTTTATATGAATATAGAAAAATGTAGTTTTAATTGATTATATAAAACATCTTATTTTTCCGTATTCTTATTCAATCATTTAATTTATTCGGATAAAAATATATAGTTATTATTTCAAATGTGTATTAATAATATATTTTTTTGGAATAATAACGAACAATTAAGTTTATATGCATATGTATATATATACTTTAATTATGATACAATTAGAATTAAGTACAAGTGTATAAGTGTGCTATATGAATTTTTAAATATTTTTTAAGGTCTGGTAAACAAACAACTCTTTATATATGAGTACATTAGATGCAAAACTCGGTTTTTGCACATTTTTAAAAAATATATATTTTATCTTATTTATGTTCATAACTGCACTGCCCACAGCATAACTAAGTAAACCAGATGCATAAGTTAATATTTGTAGAATAAAATACATTTATAAACTTACCGCAGCTGCAAAACTGGGTATTTGTCGGATGCAAAACTCGGTATTTGACCAATCACGAATCACGTCGCTAGTATACGCATTAACTGACGGCATAACAATCACCTGATTAATTGTTATTTTTTTGGTATTTGCACTTAACCACTTGCAAAACTTGATCTTTGAACGAGGAAGATGCAAAACTATGTTTTTAAATCTTTTGATTTCAATTATTTACTAAACTACTTAATTTTAAAGGACTTTTTTTTTACTTTTTTGAATAAGAAATGATGCAAAAGCACGTCTATACGATTTTTGTATTTTTTTTTCAAATATGACCTTATGAGCGGTTTTTCGTGTTTTTCTTAAAATCACTTATTCTGCAAATACAGAGTTGTGCATCTAATGTACTCATATAGCCTATATATGAGTACATTATATATATAGGTAGGGTTGTGCCTGGTCAATTGACCGAGATTTTTAACTTTTTTTGACAGGATACATTTTGACCATGTCAAAATCGGTCAAAAACTTTTAATTCAACCGCGCGCGGCGGCGGCGCTACCTAGCGGAAATTATTAAAAGTATTAAAAAAATGTTCGGTAGTGGACCATGGTGCAATTATAATAATGCTTTTTAAATAGTATTCTGGGTCATTTTTAACTAATTAATTTTAAGAGAGTAAAGACAATGGCGAGGGTGGGTTCAGTGAAGAGGATGATGTGCCGTTATCTACACATGCTAGCACCGTGTTGTCGGTTTTTGGTTCTTAAAAGAATCTCATGTACCATATTCAGGTCTTATCTGTTGGGCTGCTGTTGCTGCTCTGCTGCGAGCTAGACGTGACTGTTCTTAAAAACAATGATATTATAAATGTTTTTTGTACCTCAGAATGGTTTCTTTATTTTTTGTTAGTTGTTTTTCAATAAATATACGTTTCTATTTAAAATTAAGTAATTTTACTCATGCATTCATTTCTTTAAAAAAAACTAGGGAATTTGACCGGTGCTTAGTCAATTGACCACAATAGATTTTGACCGGTCAAAATCCCAACCCTATATATAGGTATGCCATATAGTGGTATTAATTTTTTTTAACTATTTAATGGTATTTTTTAAAAATAGTACAAATACATATAAAACTGTTAGGTAAAATCGTAACATATACAAATCATAAAACATAATATGAAAAATTATAAAAATAAAAATATTATATGTACAGGGTGATCCCCTATAATGTCGCCCCCCTTTAACTTTTTTATTTTAAGTGTCCCAAAAAAATTAAAAGTGTGGTTATAACCATATATGTAGGAACTAAAAATACTTTTTTTCTACGTATAAAGAAAATTGGAAAATTGATCAGTATACAGGGAAAAACAAAAAGTTTATTTTTTTTCAATGGATCACCCTATATTTGAATTTATTTTTCGATTCCTTGTAAAATTCTGAGCATAATTTATATACAAACCATATACCTAAATTCAACCGTTTCTGAAATATTCGCATTCGAAATGTCATTATTAAATGTTTTTTTAAACTGTTAGAAATCAAGAAGCCTCAGTATACCAAAATTTTTATTGAAAATAAATTACTATAGTGACATTATGTCAATAAGTGTTAATAAATAAGTAAAAATGGCGTACTCAGACAGAGAAAGACAAACTATTTCAACTTATTATCTTAAAAATAATTTTAATATTTCAGAAACGGTTAATTTAGGGATATGGTATGATATATGAAATATGCTTAGAATTTTACAAGGAATCGAAAAATAAATTCATATATAGGGTGATCCATTGAAAAAAATTTAATTTTTTGTTTTTCCCTGTATACTGATCAATTTTCCAATTTTCTTTATAGGTAGAAAAAAAGTATTTTTTAGTTCCTACATAACCACACTTATAATTTTTATAGGGGATCACCCTGTACCTACCTACCTACATATACGTATATACGTATTTACAAACCAAGACGTAAAATTAAAAATCTCAAAAATATTTATCTATTATCTATAGGTATTGTTTTTTCTAGAAATATAACTAGGTAATAAAATATTTTCTATACAGCAAATGCCGAGGCAAATGCAATGTAATAAAAATAAAATATTTTTCTATACAGCAAATGCAGCATTGGATACAGTTACCCTTGATCCTTATTTAATTCCAATAAAAAATAATTCCACTTTACACAACAAATAGGTATAAATTGTTAATATAAATCATTGTGTTACAAGTGCATAAAACAATTTGGTTGCACAACATATTAACGTATAGATACAATAAAGCGATCGGTGTAGCAGCAGGCAGCAGGCT